CCCGGTGGCGCAAAGGGCCGCGGCGAGCGCCGCCGCCACCGCCGCGGCGGCGGGCGAGGATCCCGCGGCGCCCCCCCTCCCCGAAGCCGCTGCCGGCGCCGCGGCCGAAGGCGCCGGCGGCGAAGGCGACGATGGCGAAGGCGACGACGGGGGGAGAAAGAAGTCCCTGCCCCACCGCGCCCAGCTCCGCGACCACATCCCCGAGGTGGACGATCGGAGACGCCCTTGGTTGTGGGACCCCCCGGAGTACCTGTGGGGGGACCCTGAGAAGTTCGGCGGGTGGGACGGCGACGATGACGGCGGCGACGGCGACGGTGGCGGCAGAAGTAGGCGCCCCGGCCGCTTGTCCACCCCGCGGCGCGGAAGAGTTGGGCTTCACGCCAGGGGAGGAGGAGCTGCGGGTGCGTCTTCGTTCTCTGGCGCCATGCGAGGTCGTGGCGGTCGTGGCGGAAGCGGTCGTGGGCGCAGCGGTAGCCGCGGCCGTAGTGGTAGTGGTGAGCGCAGCGGTAGCGGTGAGCGTAGTGGAGGTGGAGGTGGCGATGGTCCAGCTGCGACGGAAATCGCAACCATCCAAAACAAAGGCTACAGCGGAAGAAGCGGCCAGGACGCCAGCAATGTCCCACTTGCTTCTTCCGCAAGCCCGGGGGGGGTAGAGGGCGAGGGTGAAGCAACGCCGCCCGTCCAGACGAAAGACACTGCGGCGGCGGCGGCGGCAGCTACAGACAGCTCTGCGGCAGTTGCAATGAAAGTCGACGCCAACGACGCTACCGGGGGCTCCCCCGTTGGCAACGGCGGCGGCAGCGAGAAGAAGGAAGACGATGAAACGTCAAACAAAGAAAAGGCAACGGCAGAGGAACAAGCTGAGGCGGCGGGAGACACCAAGGAGGCGGGAGAGACCAATGGGGCGGGGACGGAGGACAAGGAGGCGGGAGAGACGAAGGAGGCGGGGACGGAGGAGAAGGAGGTCGCGGCGACGAAGGAAAAGGCGGCCAAGGCGACGACAACCACGGCGGCGCAGAAGTGGGCGGGGTTGTGCCTGGAAGGGCTCAAGGGGTCTGCTAGATGGCCCATCCGGAGAGAGCCGCTCATGAGCGCAGAGTTCCTGGCGGAGAACGGCGTGTTGCCGAAGGTGGGTCGGGGCTAGCGAGGATGGGGGTGGGGAAGGCTTCAACTTTCATATTTGTCGAATTTTTTCCATCTTACATGTCCTGCGAGAGGATCCAAGAGGGGTAAGGGTCCTGCACAAAAAAGTGGACGACTGTTAATTGAGTGGGGCGCAGAGGATATCGATGATTGACCTGCGTGGAGGTCATCGCCCCAGAATTTGTATCCTTTCGGCGGGACAGATCTCCAATGTTGTTGCTCCACTTTTCGAGCCTGTCCCAACGCGTGGGCTTCCTCATTGAGCGGCGTCAGAGAACGCGAGCGTTGGTAGCGGAGTGATTCCCGTGCAGATGCCCAAACAGCAGTAGTGCATACGGCACTGCCACCAGACCTTGGTCTTCTCCCCTTCATATTTTGGCGGTGTGTGCCCGCTGTGGTTGACATGAATCAGAATCACGTTACATGTGAGGAGCGGGATTCGTTTGCCCCTGAGTAAGTCATCCCGAACTTTTTCGTCTCCTCCTGCGGATCGGTTTTCCTGTCTGATGTTTTCGCTTGGTGTCCCGCAACACATACCAGACGAAACCGTGAGCTTCTACAGTGAGGATGGTCGCTGAGGCCTTCCGCTCTGATGCCTCCCGTTGAGGCTAGGCTTTCCTGTTACCTCCGCGCATATTCACTTTTCTTCTTTCATTGGCGGGAGAGCGTAGTGTCTGCTGATTCCTACCATGTTTCCCGCGCTGTTGTTGACCATTCTTCAGTGTTGACGTTTACTTACCACAGCAGTTGCTGACAGCATCGAAACATCTCTTTGTCGAGATGACCTTGTGGCAAACACTTCTTTCGACCGAACGCGATACAATTTGTAGGTGTACGTGGCGACGAAGCCATCCGCGAGGTTGATGGGCAACATCCGGTTACTTGAGAAGCGGCTGGGCTACACCTTCCGCTACCCATGGCTGTGCATGCAGGCCATCACGCACCCTTCCTGGACCATGTTCGATCGGGTGAGGGCCCTACCGTAGGTCGCATAAGATATCACCCCCCCTGACCAATGTTCGAAGCTCAATATTTCGGCAGCAGAAGCAGAGATGGCGCCGAAAGTTGCGACGTTGGAATCGTCTCGTCGAGCGCTTTCCGAAAACGAATACTTCCATTTCGGCATCCCCTTGGTCGTGGAGTAATCGAGCTTCGAAAATCGGTCCAGGCAGTGTGATATCTTATGCAACCAACGGCGTTGCTAAATCCACAGTCATGTCAAGCCATGCCTACTGGTGCGCGTTTTGGTTGGGCGAGAGACACGCCGACTGCAGGGGGTTGGGGGTTAGTGTTGATGGGGAAAGGAGAGGAGCACAAGAGGAAATCCTCAAGGTCGCCCCCCCCACCGTTTGTGGGCCACGTTTGATTGAGTCAGTGGCAAAAGGCTCAACATGGGTCAACCTCTATGAAGTATGAAGAATGGATACTGCGTGTTATTCCTGTATGTGTTCCAGCCCTGATTGAAGTGAAGGTAACAAAACAAGAAAACCAAATACAGCACGGTATGCCTCGTTGTGTCGTAGTAGTTCGTCGGGATTTCATTATGTGCTATGAACGCTAGAGCAGGATTACCGGTTGTGGTCGTTGGCCAAGAGGATTTGGGGTGCGGGTGAGGTGCATGGGGAACTGTGTGGTACCGATTTTCTGGGCATGACAACGACAGGCATTGGGGCACCTCAATCGTGGTTAGGCTTACCCGAAGAGTCAATTGCAGATATTCCATCACGGCCAAAGTCGCGCTGCGTCCCAGTGGGTGGGCGAAACGAAGCTGGTCCATGTCGAAACGGCAGGCAATCATTGGAGTCATACCATGCCGTCGGCAGACGTTGCACGACTATTGCTATGGGCCTAACGTTTACAATCGCGCGGCAGGACTGTGTCTCAACGCTCAGGTATTCATGGTACCACATTTCCAAAACATTATTGTTTTGGCGTGGTGTAAGATCAGGATACGTTACATCAGTTGTTGAGCGCTATTTTGCGAAACCGTTAGGTGCGGTGTACCAGGAAAATGACGCGGGCAGGGCGGTGTGATTGTGCTGGCACGAGGCACGAGTATGTATCACGGCACAAGACGGCGCTTCACATTTTGTATCGTTGACTACCGTGATGTGTTGGCATGTCATGTATCACGGCGCAGTTGAACGAGACGACGCTTCGCATTTCGTATCGGTGACAATCCGTGGTATGTTGTTGTGTCGTCGCAGAACTGGAAGAACGCGGAAGGGGCCAAGAAGGCCACAACAGGAACCGATCGGATGCTTGAGAGGGCCAGGGCCGCAGCCCAACGCGTGAGCAGCAACGACATCCCTCCGGGGACCGTCCCTGCACAGGGTGAGTCGCACTTCGAAGGCACATGGCTATTTCGGTGTTGGTGTTTGTTTTCTGGAACTCATACCCTTTGTTTGCCCCTCTCTAGGCAAGGGAGCACTATCCCGACGGATATCATACGTTTCATGATCAGTTTGACACGTTGGTGTTTGCGCTTGCTGTGTTCTTCACCAACGTTCCATTGACGTCTTTTCTTCTTTTAGATTATCAGCGGCTGGAGTTCTTGGGCGATGCAGTGCTTGGCTGGATGGTGACCGCACACCTCTACTTTGCCTCCAGCGCGTTTACCCCTGCCGAGCTTACACGGATTAAGGTAACCGTCATTCGATACTCTCTTGTGTATTGTTGTTGTTGTTGTTGTTCAGTTTATTTTCTATACTGTGGTTGTGTGTTGTTTGTTTGTTCAGTTCAATATGATACTGCCGTTGTGTGTTGGTTGTTGTTGTTCAGTTTATTTTCTATACTGTGGTTGTGTGTTGTTTGTTTGTTCAGTTCAATATGATACTGCCGTTGTGCGTTGGTTGTTGTGGTTCAGTTTCATATCTTCTTGGCTCCCCACCTTGAGACATCGGTTTGTTTTGTCGTTCATCCCGATAGTTTTCTTCGTCTTCTCATCTCACGGCGGGTGTATGTCTCACTACTGGCCGAGTATCCACCGCACTACTTTACACTAATTCCATATTCATTTGGCCGTATGTGTCGTTTACCTCAGTCGAGCTGCGTTTGCAACGCAAGCCTGTGGGTGATCGCGCTGCGGCTGGACGTGCACCACGTGCTTAGGGCTTCGCCCAAGATCCTCGGACACATCCATGCCTTCATCGAGGTACATTATCGTGCAGGAATGGCGAAGTGTGTTCTTATTGTTGTAGTTGTTATTATCACATAAATAACCGCTTCGGTCTCCGCTCAGTACCTTCTAGTATCCGTTCGGCAACTATTTATGTTCGGCAATTGTTGGACCGGAGCAATTGTTGGACACGGTGCAATGCTTGCAAGAAATCTGCTCTCCATCAGAGTGAGGAATGGCAGACGCAGTGAGGTTGATACCCACGGGTTGATGAGAATGCCTGGATATTAGGTATCCTTTTTGTTTTGCCGAGAGTGGTCACTCTCTCGTTGGAGAGTTGGCATGGTACGTACGTAGGGTGTCCATCCCGGTTTCAAAGTGGAATTTTTTTAAATGTATTTTCCTCAAGATTAGCATCGCACAGCGCCACGAAAACGTCACCCGCTTTATCAAGAGCTCCCATCGAGCAGAACTCAAGGTTTGTGGAAATCTTACCAGTTTATTTTCCCGGTCCTGTCTACCTGCGGCAACCTTTCTTTTGTGTGTGACTGCTGTGTTATGCTTCTTTGACCATGTGATGTTGGCTTGTTTTTGGCGCCGTTGTTGTTGGCTATTGACAGAACAATGGCGTTAGCGGAACGGGAACGGCTCCGAAGCACCCGGCCGACGTCCTCGAGGCGTTAATTGGCGCCGTCTTCATCGACAGCTCCTGCTGCATGAAGTGAGTGGTCGATCGTGGTGGTTTTCGAAAATATAAATACAATTGAAAGAAATAACGCCCGTTCGAGATGATGCCACAGTCGAAGGCGATGTGTTGAAGTATTTTCAGTGATTGGGAACAAAATTGGCTGAATAACGGGCTTATTCACAGTATTCCTTAGCCCATAAACTGTATTCACCTCTATCGGCGTTGTTGCTGTGGCTGTTTCCTTGGCGTTTTTGTTTTTCTCTCGCGCATTTTCTCCACCGTTGTTTCTAGGGTTAGTGTTGGGAAGACGGCTTAGGATGACGTTTGTATGCCTGACACCTGCGAAAGGGACCTACAATCGTTTCCTAGTAGCCCAATATCCCACAGTGTGGGTAATCGACGTGCCATATTATTTCTTTTCCGGGAGAAAAATGCTCACGATCAGCGGTACAGAGCGCAGCAATGCAGAAGACATCGCAGGAACTCGAACCCTAACCCTTGCCTGCTCAGGTTTACCTGTAGCAAAGACAGGAATAGTGAAACTATTAACTCGAACGTACGGCTCTCAAACCCCACGATGCAACTTTGGACGTGGGAGACATGGTGCTCAGTCTCATGCGACATGTCATGGGTAATGGAATGTATGGAAATTCACACGATTTACACATATGTACCAGGTACGGTAAGTAGTGGCTTTTGCGAGCAACGACACCTGTTGTAGGTGGACCCCGGTAGTAGTGCCCCGTCCGGCATTCTTCTTCCGTTCTCTCAAGTTCTTGCCCTGCCGCTTCGCCCTTCAAGTGTTTACGCTGACCCACTCTTCGTATTTCTGGAACTACCTCTTGTGCATCTCTCTATAATCTGTTGCTGCTTGTGCTGCCCTTTTTGCTTGTGACCACATGATTGTCGCTTCTTAACGTTGATGAGGACGACACAACAAAATGCTGTGTATTACAGATAGAGCTCAATGCACTTTTTGACGATGAAGACTATTACATAGACATGACTCATTAGCCCCCCCCCCGTGACTGCTCGCGCCCTACAGCACCGTGTCCCGAGTATTCTGGCCGCTAATCGCACAGTACCTGCAAGACTACCCGCCGCCGGCCGAAGAAGAGCTAGAGGGCAACCCCACTCCTGCTGCTGATGGCGCTGCTGGCCCTGCTGCCACTGCTGACGCCGCTGTCACTCCGCAAGAGTCCGTCCCCAGCGACGCCTCGGCGCCCCAGGTTGTCGCTGGTGCCGATGGTTCGGGTGATGCTGCTGCTGCTGCTGCTGCTGCTGCTGTTGGTATTGATGCTGCTGGTGCTGGTGATGATGCTGCTGCTGCTGCTGCTGCAGCTGCTGGTACTGGTACTGGTACTGATGCTGATGGTGCTGGTGCTGGTGCTGGTGCTGCTCCCGGTGATGATGGTGCTGCTGCTGCTGCTGCTGCTACTGCTGCTGCCACTCCACAAGAGTTGGCCGCCCGTGATGCCTCGGCGCCCCCCCTCGCTGCTGCTGCTGCTGCTGCTGCTGCTGGCAACGTCTCTGGCGATGGGTCTGTTGAGCGCGAGCTTGCTGCTAGAGGGAGCACCACCGAGGATGTCAATGAGGACGAAAGCATGGGCGGATATGGCGTTTGCGGTGACGATGATATCGCTGGTGGCGGCTTCGTGTGCGAGAACTGCGAGGCCGCAGACGCGAGGGACGGTGATGGTGGTGGTGTCGCCCCGATGGCCGTGGAAGGTTCCCAGGCAGACGATGCGAACTGACCGTGAGTTTACTAGACTTGAGGGGCCCAGCCACAGCGAGTCAGCAGCAGCGGGGGTGTAGCGGCAACCTCAGCGAGAAGGAGAAACGGCGGCAGCAGCTTCGGGCGAGGGTGGCGGCAGCGGGACACCGGACGAATTGTTCTCAGGAGTGTAGCAAGTTGCTTTTCGTGTCGACACGTTTCCTTTTGCCAGCTTGTGCGTCGAATGTGACGAATCGACTCGACGCCTCGAAGCACACACGCCCAACAGCAGGTGTGGTCAATTTTGGCGCCCGTATTTCAAGAGACCGGCGAGGAGCGAACCTTCCGCGGCTCCTTATATTAGTAGGTTGATCGAATGGTGAATTTCTACACGGTGCTTTGACGGGGCAGATGTGTGCGTCTCTTGCTTTTGTCAGCATCGACCGCGCTAGCCGGCCAGCGAACCAAACGCCGCCAGTCTTAGGTGGGCCAGATTTCCTAGACCGCGGAGTCCTTCGAGAGGAAGGACACGGAGGAGACTGGGCGTCAGGGTCCAGCGTGAGGTTGGTTGTGCTTTTTTGTGCGTGCGTGTGTGTGTGTAGGGGGGGGGATGTCTGCGGCTGCGTCTTGCCGGCGGTAAACTATCATATTGCGGATGATTTGTTGCTCGTTTTGCTGGGATTGTACTTTTCGTTCGGGTGTTTAATGTAGTGTTGATTGGCCTTCGAACTAGTCATGCTGATGTCGCGGTGATTGTTCCGGTGGTGGCTTGCGGTAATCTCAGCCCGATCAGGCATGCCTGAATTTTTGCATGAGAGCCCCTTTTTAAAACCCTGTCAGGCATGCCTGACTTGCTGCCTGAGAGGTCATTTCTATCTGATGTATGCCTGAGACGGTGTTTTGTTGCCTGACTGCTACTACGTTCTTCGAGGCAGCTACAGGCAGAAAATGAAGAAAAGCAACGACACAAGCCCAAAATGAACCTTCGCTATGCTTGGGAAAATATTAATTTTGAAATTAGTGTAAAGGTTTTATTTCAGGCAACAACCCAGACGTGTATCAGATATCTCAGGCATGCGATCTGTTGTCAGGCATATGCCTGAGATTTTGCGCATGCCTGGGGCACGCTTTGGCGTTCTTAATAAGCCTAGCCTCTTTGTGTGGTCATGCCATTGTGTGAGATGGTGCAACAAGTTTCTCGTCTTGTTGTGATTATGTTCCACGTGGTGTGTGTTTTGGACTCGATTGGATTTCTCTGGAGTGCTATTTATTCGCCGCATCTTTGTGTACCAGTTTTGCCTTCCAAGCTACGTGTGTACGATGCGGGCGGACTTGTGATGTTGCTGTTGTTTTTGTTGATTGTGTTCACTGTGTTTGTTGTACAAGGTATGGTATCGGCGATGTCACCACTACCATAATAATGAAGGGTGGATGGAATAACTTGGCAAGAGTGAATTGTCTTTTTGAATGGTCCAAGTGGGCTCAGTGAGGCGGCGAAGGAGGAGTTTGGTTGGCCGGGCGATGAACGATGTATGCGGGGTGTTGCTGTAATTGCGCGATGTATTAGTTGCTGGGTGTGCTTGGGAGGCTATGTTGGCGCGTCGCTTTCTCCCTCTACTATCGCGGAACAAAGCGTTTTCTCGTCGGGAGCTTGGGGTTCATTCTTGACGCAGGTGCCGTCAACTGGGAGAGGCGAAGAAGAACCCCATTATTACATCCCTCGTCTGGCCGATTTTCTCCTAGACGGGTGGTGGCCAGATCATGTTGCCGAAGCTGTGGAGGTTGTCCTTGGTACGAGTTTGGAAGGCTTCCGTCGAGATTGGTTAGAGGTTGCAGCCATCATGTTGTCGGGTTTCAACGCAGGCGTCAGCTGGGTGGGCTGGTGGATATTGCGTCAAGGGAAGAAGGAGGGTTTCGATTGCTGCGTTGTCCGTGTGTCTTGGGGTTCACTTGTTGACATATGTACGAGACCATGTGTGCGAAAACATGTGTACGAGAACGTACGATGTGTGCTCTCGAGTCGTGGCAACGTCCAAATGCAAGCTTTTGGCCCCGTCGGCCCTTCGACCTCAACCATACCTCGGCATGAACGGTCAGTCTTGAATCTAAGTCTTGGGCTCGATACACAGCGAAAACAATATTCGCGTTGGTCATTGATGAAAAAAGTCTTGGTGGTACAACACCAAAATCCGCCGTTTTGACTGCAGCTGCGCACGTTGAAAACGCGCGGTACCCCCGGTCAATCGGGGCCGTCGCTCTGGCTACCTTTTTTAAATTTTTGCTTTTTGCGTTGACGACGCGAATCCCCACGATAATAGGCTGCGTCCATGCGAGAGTTGGGATTGGCCAGGAAAGACGAATGAGGAATGGGTGTGATACCTAGACCATACCATTTTCCAACAGAGAATAACCGACAAATAAATATACAAGGATGGGCACAGATTGTTCCTGTGCCATTTCCGAACTTCGCCCAAGCGGTTCGACTAGAGTATAATCTGCACACCGCATAACGAGAACGCGAAAACAAACCTCCAAACCCAGAACAGCAGCACACCCCCAAATCGGACACTGTTTAACAACACAAGCGAAGTCATCGGTGTGCCATCCAACATGGGAACATGCCTGGCATGAACGAAGACTTGGGGGCAGAGAATGGATCATTTATTTCTTGCCGAGAAAAGGCACCTCCGTGATTTGCACTTGGTGACTTTTCTGATTTGCGTCAATGGTGTGCCGTACCTTGGAATATCATTCGCAGACGGCAACACCCGGACAAAAGCGGCGCTGTCGACGCCACCGGCTCTGGGCTGCTTTAATTTGTTCTATTTGCCAGACCACAAGCCTCTTCGCTTCCGGTCAAGACGAAACACAAGGATCTTTGATAACCCGGACCATGTAACAACGGAATTCTACGACATTGGCGAACACCAATAATCTAGCCGGAGCCAAATACGCATACGGTGCACTAGAGAGGGCATGCCGTGGGTTGTCTCAGCGTGCGAGATCATCGCCAAAGGTAAATACAATGCACCCGCTATACTGAACGAAACGCATGGTGCGTCTTAGCCGGAACAGCAGAAAACGGACAACGGACAACGGTTTACATATTCGCACAAGAACACTTGGAGCCACTTTTAGCCCTTGCACTCCCTTCTTCGCCTTGCGCGGCCTTGCAAATGTAAAAAAGAAACGCGCCCAAAACTGGGGAAACAAACCCTTATCCACGAGAAATTAAAAACCCCAGGTATGTTCAACAAACACCAAAGGGCAAAAAAACACAAGTATAAAAATAAACTATTTATCAAAACTCATCATGTTTCGCCCCGGGAAGGCATCTACCCCGTAATGGACGACCACCTTAGGCTTCGCCTCGCGGCACATTTTGGTGTTGACCGACGCAACTTTTCTTAGCGCCGACCGGGAACTTCTACCCGATGTTATGGCACATCTCGGCTCCTCTCCCGGATGAATGAAAATGTTATATCAACGGCAATAAGAGACGAAACACCAAGATAAAACCCTTTCGGCTGCCAACGAATCTGTTCCTTTTCGACTTCCCGAAAAGAAATCCTCGACGGCATCACCTTCCCCACCGCCTCATGTAACGGCAGCCACCCGCGCCTTCAGCAACATTGGAAGCTAAATCAACACTACGAGAGGGACTCGTCTAAATTGTAAGTAAGGAACTGACGATATTGAGATTTGTCCAGGACACGCATGTGACGGTGCGTTGCACACGTTTCTGTGGCCAAGGCGTGTCGCCCGTCCGCGAATCTCTAGGACCTATCTGTGCTTCTATCAAAAAGGCTTGTGCATCTGTCTGGCAGTTCAAAATGCCTGGCCTGCCCCTACACAATGCCTCAATTCGAGCGTTTCTTGCACAAGGTTTACATATTACAGTTCCCACACACATACACCCTATATCGGCTCACCCGCACCTTGAAGAAGCGGTTTATGACATGGACAATACAGGGCGCCCCCTGCGTTTCTACAGCGCATCTTCAGAACATCCGTTTTAAAAAAGACATTCAACAGCCCACTACCTAGCCGGGTGTACGCCCGACGTATAACGTCACAACCCTGTTCAAATACGCAGCACGCGGGAGACCCAGCGGCAACCACACAACTTCCGTTGCCACTTGCGACAACATCCGCGACAACAACTACCCACAACGACGGGAAACACGCACAAAGGTTTGTCAAGGTCAATGAAGGTCAAACGTCAATACCGCGGCGGTTGCCGCCCTTCTCCGACGGCGGCGGCCGCTGATGTTGCCGCCATGGCCGCCGCCAAAATGCTCGAGAGACTGTCCCCCGAGTCCGAGCGCTCCAGCTTCTGCTCTTGCCGCTGGGGGGTACGAGAACGGGGGGGATCGTCGGCATCCCTGTACTGCGGATGATCGTCGTCCCTGAACGAGTGAGGATAATCGTCATCCCTGTGGGAGTGGCGATTTCTGAGACAGACACACGAGCGCGCGGACACGCACACGGGTTAATTAGCGCGGTCGATGCACATTCTGAAGACACACGCGCACAGGCGGAGAAGAGAGGCGAGGCATCCTTGAGCGGTACACGGTAGGGGGGGAGAAGCGTTGGAGATGCCCAACCACAAATGTGTCGTACATCAAGCGCGCGAGGGGGGGGAGGGGGGGCGAAAGCAGGTACCGTATTGGCATGTCCCCCGTTTCCAGGGAATCGAAGCACATCCCCTCATGTGAATCTCATATGTGTTCACGGAAGCACCGGGCCCCGTGTCCACAGGAGCAAAAAAAGACGAACTCCTCGACAACCTCTTGGCCAACTAAAAAAACACTCACGACAGAAACAGCAGAAAACCCGCAACCGCAAACTACTCACAACAGCAACAACGACAGCAGCAACAGCACAAAGCCCAACTGCTCGCACCTCGGCAACGACGAGCCGGGCTCCTTATCATTCCCCGAATCCCAGCCGCCCTCCTCCTTGTCGTCGTAGCTGTCGCTCTCGCCGGCGTCGGTGTAATCCTCTCGCAAGGAGCCGTCGTTGTCCGGTGGCATCGCCGCCGCCGGCAGCCACCGCTCATCGGAAGGTCGCCAGACAAGCAGCGGCACGACCACAAACTGCAGCGCGAACAAGATGGCGGAACCGATGAGAACCTTGCGGCCCATACCCTCTGCCGAGGAGCTCACGCCGAGGTTGATGAGCAGGAAGAGGAGCAGGAGGGTCATGAAGACGAACGGGAGGATGGCGCGCCTCCGGGCGAAAGCGCGGACCTCCCGGAACAGGACGGGGTCGCTCTGGTTCGTCTCCCTGTTGCGGCCACGCCAAAATCGCGAAATTTGTTTGGTAGGGGGGGGGGGGGGGGCGTACTCATTTGTTGCTTGCCGTAGTCATTTGACCATTGACCACGCGTCCCTTTCGAGACGGAGCAAAGGGGGGGGGGGGGGGGGAAAATTTTTTTTTTTTAAGCTTTGAACCATTGCCCCCCCCCCCCCGAA